TAGGCTAATAATGACTCCTGAAGATAGGTTCACATCCTAATCCCTGGAACCTGTCAATGTTACCTTCTTTGGGAAAAAGAGCTATTGCAGATGTGATTGATTTAAAGGTCTTGCAGTGAGGTGATCATTCTGGATTATCCAGATGGGCTTTATATGCCAGCATGATGACTGTATAAGAAAGACACAGAGGGAGATTAGACTTATAAACAAAAGGGAAGGCTATATGAAGACAAAAGCAGAAACTGGAGTGATGCAGCTGAGAAATGCTGAAAGCCATTAGAAGAGGCAAGGAACGGATTATCCCCAGAGTCTCCACAGAGAGTATGTTAACACCTTTATTTTGGATTCTGGCCTCCAGAATGGTGAGAAGACATTTCTGTTGCTTTGAGCCACCAAGTTTGTGATCACTTGTTAGAAAAGCCATAAGAAATGGCTATAAGAAGAAAGATATAAAACTGTCTTTGTTTACAAACAACATGATTGTGGAAAATCCCCCCAAATCAACAAACTCCTGAAATTGCTAAATGAGTTTACCAAGGTTGCACAATACAAGGTTCATATACAAAATTTAGTTACTTTCCTGTCTACCAGCAATGTACAATTTGAATTTGACATTTAGACAAGTACTATTTGCAGAAGCACCCAGTTTGCATAGATTCCATCTATTTACAGATATTTGTATATAAATGGGTTAATATACACAGATATATTTCCCTGTGAGGTCAGCTGAGAGAGATGAAAGTAAGAACACTAGAGCAGCAGTGAGCACACCTAGCACCAAGATAATGGTTTCTAATACTGTTCTCCAGTGAAAGGAACCAAGGTTCATTGAAGAAATGGCTTATACCAGGACTGATGCAGAAAACACACAAGTTAAGCCTTGAGCATCTTGTAGTCTCAGAAAGCAAGTGCTTAAAAAACAGAAAAATCCACATGATGCAAAGGGACACAGGAAGCAACTGAAAGAGCTCCCAGTGGCCAAAGCTGGAACTGTGTGAACAATAAAATAAATAAGGTAGTGTGGGATTGTAAACCCAAGTGTAAAATAAATACCTTCGAGTCTATACCAATAGTAAGTAAATTATTGTAAATTTTAAAATGGAGAAGACATGCTCGCTTCGGCAGCACATATACTAAAATTGGAACGATACAGAGAAGATTAGCATGGCCCCTGCGCAAGGATGACACGCAAATTCGTGAAGCATTCCATATTTTTTTTAAAAAATAAATAAATAAAATGGAGAAGACACAAACCTTCCCATATAAAAATTCGAAGCAATTTATGTAGCTAAGCCCCCCTTGAGGAGGTGGATTATAACTTCCCACTTCTTAAGTATGGGATAACCATAATGACTTTTTTTCCAAAGAGTACAGTATGAAAAATGGGAAAAAAAAGATTAGCTTTACAGTGGTGAAACTGAGCCAACACTAACTACCTCAGCTAAGTGCTCAAGGTCAACATCAACAGTGGTAAATCATGGTGCTATTATGTGCTCTTGACATAATGTGATGTTCATAGCAGTTTCCCTCTATGGCTTTCCCAAATCCATAACCTCAGTGCAGTGATGAAAAAAACATTTAACAAATCCCAATTGAGGGACATTCTACAAAATACCTGACCAGTACTTTGAAAACTGTCAAGGTCAGCAAAATAAAATAAGAATCTAAGAAACTATCACAGCCAGGAGGAATGTATGGAGACGTGACAAATGTAGTATGCTTGATGGGATTGGATACTGAGTCATACTCAAGAAATCTAAATAAAGTGTGGACTTTAGTTAATAATGTATCAGCATTGGTTCCTTAATTGTTACAAATATACCATAATTATATAAGATAGTAATAATAGGGAAAACTGGGTGTGGGGTATATAGAAACTCTGTATTACCTCTGATTTTTCTGTATATTGAAATCTGTTCTAAAACTAAATGTTTGTTTAAAAATAAACAAACTATTTTGTTCTGAGCCACCAGCCCAGTTTTGTTACTGGGACTGGAATGAAACACAAAATTATTTTCCCTTCTTCGTTAGTCAGTTAAAGGTGGAAAATATTGTAGTTTTTTTTTTTTCTTGGTAGCTGTGTCCGTTCATCTAGAAATTATTTACTGAGCTTCTCCTGTGTATCCTGCTTTGAGGATACGAAGAGTATAAGAAAGATACAGCACCTGCCCATAAACATCAAGAAAGGGACATAGATATGCAAACAAATAATGTTCGGGCCACTGTAGCTACTGCTGGGCTACTGTTGCTGCCATAGTAGATCTTCTGCTTTGCTCTCCCAAATATATTAGGAAGAGAGTCTCCACCCCACCCTTCTGAAGGAGTCTGGCTTTTTTGATGAACTTTAGATGGTGTGGTTTTAATGTGATCATGCCTTGTTTTTAGACCTCCAAAGGTAGCCTTGGTCTTTTTTTTTTTTTTTTTTTTGAGATAGAGGCATGCTCTGTCACCCAGGCTGGAGTGCAATGGCACGATCTTGGCTCACTGCAACCTCTGCCTCTTAGATTCAAGCAATTCTCCTGCCTCAGCCTCCTAAGTAGCTGAGACTACAGGCACCTGCCACCATGCCTGGCTTATTTTTTTGTTGTTGTATTTTTAGTAGAGTTGGGATTTCACCATGTGGGCCAGGCTGGTCTTGAACTCCTGACCTCCTGATTTGCACACCACAGCCTTCCAAAGTGCTGGGATTACAGGTGTGAGCCACCGTGCCCAGCCAGTAGCCTTGGTCGTCTATATTAATCTTCTCTTCCAAGATGCTTAGAAGAATTTAGATGATACCCAAAAGCCTTCTAGTAAATCCAAAGATGTCACATATTAGAAAAACACATCTTGATATCATTGTGGATTCTTTTGGGATGTTTCCCTCACCTTCTTACATCTATATAGAAGCTTTGATCTCTTCCTTTTGATTGTCTCGTTTCTGATGTTGTAAGCACCAGGCATCAGTTCTATAGTCTGTTCATCTGTGCATTTTTAAATGAACTTAGTATATGCCTAGCTCAAGACCTTTACACTTTGTTTTCCTGCTTGTAATGCTGTATCGCCACATTTCCTTCATTCAGTCTCTATTTGGATTTCATTACTTAGAGATGCTCTTATGATAGCTCTTTAAATATAGCTGTCCCTCACCAACTCCATCACTATCTCATTACATTGTATTATTTTTCTCCATGGAACCTATCTCCACTTGACATTTATTTCTTTATTGTCTTTCTCTTCTAGAACACCTGCTCACAAAGGCAAGAACTTTTTGTTCATTGGTTGGTCTATTCCCAGCATCTCTAGAGCGGAGTCTGGCACATGGTAGTACTCAGTAAATATTTGTTGAACAAATGCAGGTATGATAGTGACACCTCCAGTTTCTCCCAGTCACCCTACAGACCCAAAGAAATGAAGGCTTCCAATGACCTGCTCTGATGCATCAGCCTTTAAGGAATTTATACAGATTGCAGTCCTACTTAAGTCCTTGCCTCATTTCTATTTGTATAGTAATTGATGCTTTTCAAAGTGCTTTTGCATAGATTGTCCCTTTTGATTCCTTGAATACTATGTAGTGTAATACTATGTGTAATACTATGAAGCAAGTAGGAATTTCTTAGACCTATTTTACAAATGAGGAATGTAAGGGAATGGAATTTCAAAGGTAACTATCACAGCCAGAGCTAGAAACCAGATCTCCTGACTTCGTGATTACGTGGGGTTCACATTTCATCTCTTCCGGTGTCTACATTGTATGGTTTTGAGGGCAAGGTCTTGAATTTTTTGTTTTTATATTTTCCACATGCCTTATACACAGTGTGCTTAATAAAGTATGTTTCTTTGGGCCTTTTGGCCACTTCAGCTTTTATCTTTGACTTCATTAATGGATTTTAGGAGGATCTCAGAGATTGGTTTTAGGTATGGTGCCACAGATTCGGTAGGTTAGGGCCAGGCATACAAATCACATAGGAACTTTGGTTGTGTTAGGTTCTGATTTAGTTGGTCTGGGGTAGTGCCTGAGAGTATGCATTTTTAACAAGCTCTGGGAGTGCTCATGCTGCTGGTATAGCTTCCACACTGAGTATTTCAGGGCTGTGTATCATGTGAAAGATGTATTCTTTGTTTGGCTAACTGACTGTGTGAACCTAGGTAAGTTTCTTGGAGACACTATGACATATTGTTTAGGTTCGATTACTTTGGTTAAAATCCTAACTTTCCGTTTACTGTGTGATCTCAGGTAACTTACTTAACTTTTCTGTGACTCAATTCCTCTTTAAAAATAGAGATCATATTATTACTTATCTTATACAGGTATTGACTGAATTAATACTTGTAAAGCACCTAGATTTATAATGCATAGCACTCAATGAATCTTAAATACTGTGATCATTTCTTTGTTTCCTTGTGTTATTCTGTTAAACTCCATTAAGAGGTTTAAGATACATTTGAAGGAAGGAAGTTGTTTAAGATACTTGCAAGGTATGAAACAGCGTGGTGTCTTTCATGGAAATGCTAATCTGGTTGGAAGACAGTGCTTTCATTAATGAACAATGCAATAGAAATCAGCTAATGGTGATTCTTCTCGAACTGTCACAACTATACTGTATACTTTTCATTAAGCATGAGCAAATTAGGGAGAAAATGAGTAGGCACTCCAGTTTTGTAGTAAAGTGTTATGATGTATGATATTAAGCATAGGGCATAAAATTGTTTTTATTCATCTCAGTTATGTATTAAATGAACCAACTTGATTTTAATTGGCAGTGCGGAAATATGGAGGTAAGAATATCAGAGATCAGTGAGAATATATTTGGTGCCTGATATAGTGATAGTAAGGGGTAAAAAGTGTGGACATAATTATTTTAAAGGGAGATATTAGTTCTACTTTTTCCAATAATTAATGAAAAATAACGTTGAGTTTCTTTGGGAAAAAAATTTACACAATTCATTTGTCCCACTGACTCAAAAGCATAAAAAATAAATCTTTAATTAACATGGAGTTTTTCTCCTTTTTGTCTTAGGATCAGATTTTATTAAGACCTCTACTGGAAAAGAAACAGTAAATGCCACCTTCCCGGTAGCTATAGTGATGCTACGGGCCATTAGAGATTTCTTCTGGAAAACTGGAAACAAGGTATATTATTACCAGCAAATCTTTCTTCAGAGTAAAGATAATGTTATTTATAATACTAGTTACAGCCAGGATAACTGTGTTTATATGGAGAAGTTGTGAATGAATTACCTTTATTAAGGTAAATGTTTAATTTACCTTTCATTATAAAAGACCACATTCAGGGAGAAAAATGTATGATTAACAAAGTGAGTGTGAGTGTGGGAGTATGTGTGATCAAGATGTAAACTCACTTTATGTCCTTTTGTTAACCAAAGACAATTTTGTCACTGACAAGAGATTCCTAAATGGGTTCTTTAATGAACTAATTCTGCTGCAACACAGAGGCTTTCTCGCAAGGCGTTGGCCAGTGAAAACAGGTTAATGCAGAAATTAAACTTCCTTGAGGAATGGAAAGAATTGCAGAGTAACATTTATTGAATGATAAGCTGTGGTGGTGATATGAAAAGTATGCAATATAATGGGAAATAATCTTTTCCTGTCATTATTGAAGGACACACATAAATTGGTTTTTCTGTTGGGAAACCCCCGGTCCAGAAAAACTTATTACTTTTAATAATATGAGGTGAAGAGAAAATTCTCGAGGAGATGAACTTATTAAACAAAATAATGAAATGCTGTGAAATAGCAGGGAAAAGGTAGCTAGACGTTATATAGCTCTTGAATTAAATATCAATTTTTGCGTTTTATGGCAGTTGGATGTGCTCTTTGGAAGACTGTTAAGCTGAGGAGGGTGTATACTAGCTTTTGTCAGCTTTTTGAAAAATAACATATATTTTTTGAAACATACAAAGTTAAAGGGAAAAAAGTGTATGAGGTGCTTTTTTAAAAATGAGTTTGGATTTTCCTTTTCATCTCAAGTTGCTTGTTTAGCTGCAAATTATCTCAAAGGATTTTTTTACGTGATTGGAGAGAAAGGGTGTGTGTGTGTGTGTGTGTGTGTGTGTGTGTGTGTGTGTGTAATGAGACTTTCCCTTCCTAAGAGGCATCTTTTAAAACCAGTCTCTTGATTTCTGCCAAAAAGAAACCCAAAAAAGACCTTTAGTCCTTTGTTCACCTGATATGATGACTTTGTATGTAACTGTAGCTTCAGTTTATTTTGGAATAGGTGACTTTTTTTTGGAATATGCTGGTTTATGAGAGGAAATAAACTCCTTCCAGAATTTTCTCTCTTAGAAAAACTTCACATCTTAATTATGAATAGGATAAATATCTATTGTGACCTACATGAGAAAGGTGACCCAACTTGAATAACCTCTGCTTGATAGCCTGTCTGCAGTGATCCAAATAAGCTAAAAGATTTTTTGTTTAAGCTGTAAAAATGATAAATCTATCTTTGGTCCTCAGTTGAAACTACCACCACTCATTAGATTGTGATTCTTATAGCCAAAGAACATCAAAACCAAATGTGAAGCTTTTTATACTTTATAGATGCCTGGGCCCCCATCCCTGGTAGTTTTGGGTCTGGTGTAGTCCTCAGGCATCTGTATGCATTAAGTTCCATTGTCAGGGTTCAGACTTGCCACTGGGGACCCAATCCTGTTTTGTTCTCAACAAACATTTATTGGGTAGTTAACCATGTGCCATGTTAACCTGTGTTAAATGCTAGGAATGGAAAAATGACTACGTCCCTTCTCAGGAGAGCTCTTAGACAACATGCAAAGAATGTCAATGAAAATTGTAAGTGCTCCGTGTTCCAGGCCAGAGTACAGAGGGAGGGACACTTTGCTGTCTTTCAGTCCTTTCTTTTTAATTGTATTGATTCTTTCCCCAGCTAATAAATAAGTCCATCCTAGTTTTATTAAGAAAAAAACAGGTACAAGTCAAATTCTATTCATTTAATCATATTTGATTTCAAACAAAGAGGTTGTGTATGTTTGCAAATCAGGTGCAGCCTTTTGGGTTGTTGACAAGTTGCTTGGGCAGTCCTTAGACCATTAAGTTTCTGTGTCATTGATTTAAGGGTATTTTAAAATGTGATAGGCCACCTTCCAGACGATGCTTAGTGTCACTCTTGAGAAGCAGAGGTTTAATATTTCATAACTGATTTCATTGCAGATTTATGTTTTCCATATTCTCTCTCTTAAAAACAAGGATAAACTTAGGTTAGAACCTCTCTGGAAACAGACTTGCTGACACAAACTGAACTATATAGAAAATCTATAAGAAGCACTACCTAATTGACAAAAATGCTCCTATGATTAACATGTATGCTAATATCAACTAATTGATTTTTTTGGCTGCTTCTCAACAAGTAACCTCATCCTGTTTAACCCCCTTGTTGCTTTACAGAGTCATAGCCTGGGCTCTAGACTAATAGCAGATACGGTTGGAATCCCTGCATTGCCGCTGCTTAGTTATGTGACATTGTGTAATTGAGGCAGGGAAAGAAGTTAAGAGACTTTTACTGATATTTCATGTGAGAATTGATGAGGGTCTAAACTGAAACAAGTTGAGTGCACAGGAAAGTGTACATGGGGGGTAAGGAAGTTAAGGAAGTAGAATTGGCAGAACTTAAATATTGCTTGGGTATGGTGTGGCCAAGGAATGGTAGAGCTTGGGTTAAACTATAACCTTCCCTGCTTGGGTTGGTAATAGACTATATTCATTTAATGTCTCTCTTCTCTAGCATTCTGTTAGCAGTAATCTGCTGGTGCAACCAATCACAGCCCTGCATGACAAATGTGAGAGATTTAGTATTCAGGCTCTGTGGTGTTGTTTTGACCGCCAACATCTATAGATTCCCTACTCTACTGGATAGTCAAGTTCCTGAAACATGTAAAATCAGATAATCAGAGTTTTATTGGATATGGAACATATCTTTCCTTTCCTAATGAATCCAGGGACGTCATTTGTGAATATCAGATATTGACTGGATTGGGCTATGTTATGGCCAACCCTTAAAGACTACTGGAGTATGTGGACACCCCCACCCCATGTTCTTCTACTGCGCTTATGTAACTTGTCTGCCGGCTTTCTAGGATGCTGTGTGCCTGCAACTTAGAAAAAAAAAATCCCTGCAGTTGAATTGATTAAAACAACTGTCAACTTTCCTTGCTGGATTGCCGCCAGTTTGGTTAGGGTAACCCTGCAGCCTTGCTGATTCTGTCCTTTTATTTTAAGTGCACTTGTGTTTTGAACCTCAAGATGAAGGCTGAGAAGTGACCATATAGGCTTACTTGTAGAAATGTAGAATGAATGGGCTTTTGTGATCTGCTTTCCTATTTATTGACACCTTCCTTGTTTATTCCAGGTTCACAGCTATAGTCTAGATGGTTGAGGCTTATGACTTTCCAATAAGTGAAATGTTAATCAGGGTTAGTAACCCTCATTAGTGTCTCTTCGAAAGCAGTGACATTCTCCAAAAATCTTGGGGAAGTTGTTTTGTAGTGTGAATGGGCATGAGTCACTGATCTAAGCCCTTTTGCTGGATGAAGTGAAAAGGTTTTTTTCAACAGAGGGAGAGAGAATCAAGACTCTGATAAACATAGTATCATTTTTAAAAGAAATCCAATAACAATAAAGATTGTTCTATTCTCTGCCTTCCCATTTAGGTAGGCTTTAAACCAGCAGGAGGCATCCGCAGTGCAAAAGATTCCCTTGCTTGGCTCTCTCTTGTAAAGGAGGAGCTTGGAGATGAATGGCTGAAGCCAGAACTCTTTCGAATAGGTGCCAGTACTCTGCTCTCAGACATTGAGAGGCAGGTGAGTAATCTCTATCTTTGGAGTAAATTGACAGGTGTTTTTGAGAAAGGAATTGAAAAGCCAAATTGAGAACTAGAGATAAAAACTCATCTGATTGACCTCACTCTACTCAATCCTCTACTTTTTCTTCCAAGCAAATCTCCATCAGAAGTGAGTTGGGCGAAGCACATACTAATGAGGCTTTATAATGAAATGTTCATTAAAACTATTCATTATTATTTGATAGTATAATTATTAACTGATGTGTATAATTATAGAATGATTGTTAATTAACTAAACTCTGCTTTTCCTCACAGATTTACCATCATGTGACTGGAAGATATGCAGCTTATCATGATCTTCCAATGTCTTAAATTAGTCAGCAGTTCCAGAAAAGTTTTTTATGACAATGTTTAAAAATTATTTTTCTACATAATTGCTAAAATTATTTAATTAAAAAGTAGGACAATAGGTAACTGGCATTTCTCTCCTTAAAATTTCCATTGAACGTAAAGAATGGAACTGAAAACCAAACTTATCCACATTCACAGGTACTCATTTCAGGCACATCTGAAATGTTCTTAATTACTTGAAGATCTGCGCTGTTAACTTTGTGAGGGGTTTCTCCTAAAAACTCTTAAGTAAAATGTTAATGGCAGCTTTGACAACATCAAATTCTAAGGGGGAAGAAAACAACATTAAACTGCCCAAACAGTGTGCCCTAGCAAAGGAAAATGCAACATCCTGCAAATGCTGCTGTAACGACGTCAGCAGTCACTGATTCAGCACTAATTTCCTGCCCTGAAAACTCATCTTTCATTTTCTCTATGGATATGCTCTTTTGTTAATTGTTTTGCTAATGCAATTTCTGGTACTGTTATACACAACTATGAATATCATTAAAATTTTTAAAATAAAGTTCCTATAGTTTATTATTTTTTTTAATTGTTACAATACATAATGAAAAAGTAATCCATTAAACATAAAAAGAGGTTTTATCAGTGAGTTCCTGAATCTCTCTAGTTGATTCCTTGGGTATATATCTGTAAAGCACCTCCATATATTATTAATGAATGCAACTTATGCATGTATTCGGAAACTCTTCAGATTTTCTGGTGTACTGAATGGAGGAAAGCAGTAGATATTAACAGCACTTGCCATGTAATAAGCTTTACATATATCAATTTATTTAACTCTGATTTAGTCCTCATAATAGTAAGGTAAATACTATAAGGATTTTAATCCTTACAGCAGTAAGTACTGATATAATCATCCTTTTATTCAGACAGGGGACTGAGGAACAAAGAAATTTAAGCAACATGCCAAAGGTTGCTCAAAATTCGCAGAGTTAAGAATCAAGCCCAAGCAGACAGGCTGGCTCTGAAGTGCATGCCGTGACCTCCAGGTATCCCAGACCTTCGGTACACATAGTCAGGTGTTCATAAAAAGAGCTCCTCATAGGCTCGGGTACAGTAATCTGCCTCACGGTCAGCTGGTTTTTTTGCTCTCTGTCTGTCCCAGCCTCACTCTTCAGAGATTCTGCTTGCTAGCATATCTACCATGTTACAGAATGTGTTTCCTTAGATGGTGATTTTCATCAGGAGAGAGTCTTTCTTCCCTGAATGGCTCTCTAGTTGTTCATAAGCAAAAACCTGGACTGGAAGTCAGTTTTGGTTTTATCTTCTCACCTGCTGAATTCTAGCCTGAACTCTCCCTCTTTCTGCCTTTGACTCCTTGGTCTAGTCAGTTCACATCTCAGTTTCTTCATCTATAAAGTAAAGGGGTTGGGGAGATGCTATGAAAGTTCCTTCAGACCTAAAATTATATTACCCTAAGGATAATTAGAACAAATTCGAGAAAATGTTTTATGGCTGAAAAGAGAAAACACTTTTCTACCAATCTAAATTAGAAATTGCCTCTTGGGAGACAATTTAGCAAGTCCTTCAAAGCACCTCTCTAACTATAAATGAAATGACTAAAACAAGAATAGAAAAGAAATTCTGTTTTCCCCCAATGCCTCAGGAGGATGCCAACTTTTGACTTGTGCCTTTGGATATGGTCAGTGGCTCCGAATGTCATATTCAGCCTCATCATATGCTAGCCCAGGTGCCCACCACTACAATGGCCAGTCACCTTTGGAGAAGAAACATTATAGAAAAATAATCAGTCTGTCACCTTTGAAGCTATTCCAATTTCACAGGGGTTTCTGTTTTACTCCCATTAAACCCAGCTGGTCATTTTAGTTGATCAAGTGAACAGGCATCATAATCTTCAATTTTAATTTATATGAGGCATTCACTGAAATTGACCTCTGTGGACAATTACAGATTCACATAGGAAATTAAGACTAGCGAGTCCCTCAGACCTATTAAAGCCTGATGAGCATAGCCTGATCTAAAGGTAAGTAATGTTATAGTGGGGAGGAAAATTTATTCCAAGGACTATGGGACTCTTCATCCGGAATGTCTGCCCATCCTTACCTGGCTCTTGAAATCAAATGTAACAGAAGACTTTAATAGGAACACCCTCATTAATGTTGATTGCTATGGAAACATAAGAGGAAGAGATCATTTCTGAGGTGACTATGATTTACTGCAAGCTGATTTGTGTACTTCAGAACATTGGGATTAGATGCTTTATACAATCAGAAAATAACTTGCTGTGTTCTGTGTTTAAAGCCTCTAAGTTAATGCAAGCACCCTGCCTTGTTGCAATTGTTCAGTAAAGCATATTAGGCATGAAAGTTATTTTTGAAACAGTCATATAATTTGGGAGCATAGAGAGACTTTAGAGAACATCTAGTTCAGCACTAGAGAACATCTAGTCTTTTTTTTACGTTGAGAAAAGAAACAGAGAAGTCACTTGTGCAAGGTCACATAGAATGTCAGAGCTGATACAGAATGTACATTCCCACCATATGATGAACTATTTTACAATACATACCCTGGTCTTTGGAACTGAAAATTTCTTGCTTGTTTATGCATGCTGCTATACCTAATCGTGTTTGTCAGTATGTGAACCTAAGACTTTCAAGAGATTCGTTTTTGCCTCTAAGAGTCTTCTAAATGGTGTTTTAGAGACCAACCTTCTCAATCTAGCCCATGTGATAGTGTGATAGTATGGTCGATTTCATCTGTTAGATCTCAGAATTTTGGATGACCTCTAGAACTGAATTTTTTTAAGTATTGAATGTTACTTCATTTTGTTTTAAGGAAAAAAATATAGCAGGGGGGGGCTTGTTTGGATTCTAATTTGTATACACATGGAGAGGAGATGACATGTCACAAAACTGTTTTATAATTAAAGTATTTTGCCTCATTCTGGATTATTTCAACACTAATGAGAAATTCAGACAAATTGGTTCACATGAAAAATAGCTTGGAAAGAGATCCATATAGCAGTAGAAACTGTTACAGATATCAGGAAGTGCATCCTCACAGCAACATAACACAGTCTCCATCCTGATTGAGCAGAGGTTTTCTATGTCATACATACATGTTTTATAGAAACCAAATCTAGAGAAACCAAATCCATTTCTCTGGAAAAATTAACATATTTCGAGTACAGAGGGAAACCATTAATTTTTCTTCCATCAGCCTGATACTGTACACATCATACATAGGACCAGAGTGCAGAAATATAAAGAAGAAGAAAGAATTTGTATAGATCTTACCTTCCAAGGCAGTGAAATGTTATGCCTATTTTGGCACTGGGAAAAAGGTAGGAGGTGAAATCAATTTCTACACTTATTTTCCTGATCACTCTCTGGGGTTTTGCCTCCCAAAGAAAATATGTATTTTACAACCACCACCAAATGATCCTTTCTAGAAATGACCACAGGTAACATCTGGCTGATATATAAAATATGTAGTAAAAATAATCATTTTTAATTAACTAAAACCTGCTCAGGAGAGAGTCAGAGGAATATCCATCTGGTCAATTCACACTTAATAGGACAGATGAGGATCAGGATGTTTAATGCAATATATGAGAAATACTTAGTGACCTTACGATGAGCTAAAACTTTTTATTAGGAAAAAGAACACAGATGAGGAGGAATAATTGGAATATCTAGAAAGGACAGACCTGAAACTTGATATGTTTAGAAGTACGTCTTGTAAAACACATAGAATATAGGAAACCTATATTGTGTGGCATTAGTTTCTATTGTCCAATGACAGGGAAAGTGTTCAATTCATTTGAACAATAAAATAAGCTTATAGTTTATTCTGGAGATTGGCAACAAGTTTTAAGAAGTGATTATAAATACCTTATAAGATGTGATTATAAGTAAAGGTTAAAGGAACTGAGATTATTTAGCCTGAAGGGAAGATCAAAGAGTACTTAATGCCTGAAAACCCCAGGAAAAGTTACTTCTCTATTAGATTTTAGTGACACAGTCCTGTATCTCCTCTCTAGAAGAAGAAGTAGAACTTATGCTACATGTGAAGTTAGGTTAGTTCTGGGTAAGGACTCGCTTAATGGGCTAGAATGTGTTATTAAGAAGGTACATCTTACTATTCTCAGTAGTAGACTTGTCTTTTTATTTGGTGGTTTAGTTGTGCTGCCAAAAAAAGTGGTATTCAAACTGAATCACTGGGAGAGTTATATGAAACAAGTCTCAGCTGCACACCCCGAATTTCCAGTTCAATAAGTTAGCTGTAAAACCTGAGAATTTGTATTTCCAACAAGTGCCCAGGTGATGGTGATGCTATCGTTGTGCTCTAGGAACCACACTTTGGGAACTACTATGTTAGAGATCCTTGTACTCAATATCTAGATTCCAAATTAAATGTATCTATTAAGCAGTAAAATCCACCAGCTGCAGCACTTCTGTATCCCGAAGGTCTAGGATAAATGTTTATATTTTGCTGCTTTTCATAGCCAAGAACAGGAGGGAGGACAATGGAAATGACTTATCCCTTAATCCTTTCACACAACGCAATGAACTCGATTTCACTTTGGGCTTAAGGATCCTAGAATAAACATTTTAGATGAATTTTAAATCATTATCCATAAAATCTTCAAGGAATTTTATCAAGCCAAGATTGTAAGATTTAGCTGTATTTGATTCCACCAGTCTGGAATGCTATAACTGGCGATTTAGATATAATGTACTATAAAACCAAGACATAACAGAGCCCATTCTTCAACTTGCATTTAGAATAGATTGTAGGGAATGGCATGTTTTACAGATACTTGGCTTATTTTGAAGGTACTGTGTAGATAGATGGTCTCTAGGACAAATGAAAATGTTGGTTCCTTGGTCTTTTCCACATAAAAGAATGTTTTAAATTTGTGTTTTGCTTTCTAAGTGTTTGCTTTGCCAGGACCATACTGCATATAGGCACGTTTCTCAATTGTTAGCAACAGAACTCTCCTCTACCTAGTTTAAGTGAGAAAAGATGCTTATTCTTAAAGCATGCTGTCACAGGATATCCGGGATGGGCAAATAGTGGGAAGTTTTATTAGGCCACTCTTGCATCGCTATAAAGAAATACCTGGGTCTTGGTAATTTATAAATAAAAGAGGTTTAATTGGCTCATGGTTCTGCAGGCTTTACAGGAAGCATAGTGCTGGCATCTGCTTAGCTTCAGGGAGGCCTCAGAAGGTGAAGGGGAAGCAAGCACATCACATGGTGAAAACAAGACAAAAGGCAGAATGGGGAGGTGTCACATACTTTTAAATGACCAGCTCTTGGGAGAATTAACTATGACAAAGAGCTCCAAGCCATGAGGCATCTGTCCTGATGACCCAAACACTTTCTACCAGGCCCCACATTCAGTATTGGTGATTACAATTCAACATGAGATTTGGGCAGGAACAAAAATCGAAACTATTTCAGAAAAAGAGGCAGCTAGGTAAGAATAATGCCCCAACTATTCTTTAGAACTGCTTTTAATCACTTTTGGCCTTTT